GCACATTCCAGGAGTTGTTGAAGTAACTCTCTCCTACAAATCCAAACAGTTCTGCAAAGGTGCTCCCGGCCGGTTCGTCTACACTGGTAAGTGTATGGTTTCCTTACTCCTTTCAGGGTAATAATTCCCATCTCTTAATGATACATAGGCAATGCAAAGCGTGAACATTACAATGCTGTTGAAAAATAGGATGTGTCTTGCAAGGAATGTAACTGGTGGTAGCTGGACCTCAAAATACCTGTTCGTATGGGCACCCAGAAGCTCTGGTGCCTATCCAAGCCTCTTGGGTCTTAAAAATGTCTCGATGTCTCCTGAGATCAAGCTCTCTCACAAGATGCCTGCTACTTCCTGTTTTCATTTTGGCCAGAAAGAGATTAACAACGGTATTTCCTACTCTGCTCCAGCCAGAAAAAGGAGTTAAGAAGTATTCAGTGGTGAAAAATACTTTTCAGACTATCTATCCAAACTTCATGAACTTCCCTAAAGGTTCAGTTGAAGCTTTAGGCACCGGTTCAAGTAGCTGTTGTTGGATCCAAATAACTTTATCCAACCTTATTCACAATCTGGCTCTCAAAATTCTTTCAGACCTGAACCTTGGGATACAAACTCACAAGCCTGGGAATGATTTATTTGTGCCAATTCTTTTAAATAAATTTTATTTTAATTTACAAGAGCACAAGAAAAAGTCGGAACTTTGTGGTTTCCAGTGGTTTTAATATGAAAATTCTTACTTTGGGATGAAGTATTGCTGGCTTTTTATCTGAAATGTGTATTACAATTTTTCTGGCATTTAACAATGAACTTAACTGAGGTGCTGGGAGGGAAAAGGGAGAAATAGCAATTTAATTTACCGTACTTTTGGATGAGGATTCTAGGTAATAAATTTGATCTGATGAATCAATCTCTCTTTTGAAAACAAAGAGCCTTTAACTGTTTACTCGACAGACTGCAGGGATTCGGGGAGAGTTCTTGCTGCTTATTGGGGAGATAATGCAGATTGCAGATGATGTGCAGATGATGTGCATTTTGATGAATATTTTCCCACTAGACTGCAACTGTTTCTATCTATTAATTTAGATCTAATGGGAAAAGTGTGTTCCTGGGTAGTTTTAAGCTAGGACTTTTTAAACAGTCAACGCATCGTGGATATGTTTTTCTGTCTGCCTAAGATCTATCACTGAAATGAACTTTTAAGTGAAGGTAGCATCTGAGATTCCTATCTTCCATCCATCCCCAAAGAAATCACAACCTGAGCAAAACCAGTGCTCGCATTCCCACCTGGGTGCCTCACTTCTGGCTGACAAGGGAGAGAATATTTACATTTTCTTGATCTTTCTGATTGGGTTGCTACCAGAGTTACCAAATGGGATGGTGGTGCCCATGGTGCTTTTGGTGCTAACAACATATCTCAAAAGCGGAGGTTGTTTCGTTGCCTGCTGCAAAGGCGGTAACCGTAGGTAGGGCTGCATGCGGTCACGGTTTCAGCCTTAAAAATGCTGTTATGGACACACTCCATGCAAAGCTTCAGCAGAGTATCCTGACAAGTATGACTATTTAGCTAAGATAAGTGTTCAGCACAATAAAAAATGAATGAACTAAAAGCCTTAGACTAAGCTCCAGATATTTTAGCTGTTGCGAGCTGGTGCGGTTCCATTGCACACAGGGAAGTGCTGCAGATCTGAACCAGATGACGCTCTGGCTCTCAGTGCACCGTCCTGGAATTTTGAATTGCTTTATAGTAATGTCTTAAACTGATTTCTTAGGTGCAGATTTTGCAAATTTGGCAAATTTTGCTGTTTTGAACTTCTTTAGAATGTGTAAATGCAAATATGTATGAAACTGTAAGAAAAGCCATTCGTTTCTTCTTTCCTGGGGTCATCTTTTGTCTTTGTGGCTAAGTAAAGATGTTCAAAAGAATCGTGAGAATGTCAGGAGCTTCTCCTGCTGCAATTAAATTGCAATAAAGTTCCATTACTAACAACACTTTAACGGGAATATATATTTAAAACACCTTTTGAGGGAGACAAAAGCCTATATCCCAGCAATAAGGAAATAAAAAGATAAAGCCAGCGCCTGCCTGACCGAGAAACTTCTGCCTGCTTTGCTTTATCCTGAAGTGACAGGGTGGCTGAGATAGTCTTTGGAAATTACAGCTGCCATTGCGAGGGAAGCCAAGCCTCACTGTATTTCAGAAAATGAAAATGATGTAGCCCTGGAGGAGGGAGGGGCTGAATCCCCAGGGCATCTGTTTCCCATCAGTGTCCCACCATGCTTGCAGTCTGGCTTGGCACTCTAACATTTAACCTTCCCAGCATGAGGTAGACCATAGGGCAACAAGGCTGCAGAATAATGAAACAAGAGTGTAGTGTGGTGTACAAAGCCTTTGTGAGCAGAGAAGTTGAGACATTAAATGATCAGGGTACAGAGATATGAAAGTTCCAGATTTTTCTGAAAAGCCCCCATTAGTCTCACGCAGAAGGAAGAGCGCGCCGTCTCTCAGCAGGCAGAGGCAAGGCCTTTCCCCATCTATCCATGCCTTTTTGCCCGCTGCTTTCAACTATTATAAAGATACAATTACCTTGGGAGATTGTGGCAGTTCAGTTGATTAGCACGGTGAATTAAAAGAATGAGTCACAAATGACATGTCCAGCTCTTCTCTACTAGTCCTTTGTATTCCCAGCGTACCTCACCCCTGTTGTAAGAAGGTCAAAAATTAGAGAGAGATAACAATTTTCAAGCAGCTAGCACTTAGGAGCAGAATTAACAATCATTCTGTATGTAATTGCCAGTTAATAGTAAATTGCCTTCTAGACTGTAAAATGCAATATAAACTGGTGGGCACCTAAAATTAAATTAATGAGGTATTTGCTGCATTTAAAAGCGAATAGTGCAAATTAATAACTGGGTACAATACTTGTTTTAATGTATCTTGAACAGTGCATCGTTTGCTTGTTTAATAATAATTTTAAAAGTGCTACCTGAAAAATTCTCTGTCTCTCTGAGTAAATCGAGTGGTTTGTGCAGGTTGTAGCCATAATTTTGCTGGTAAAGTCTTCCAGGTTTCTAAATTAAATATCAGAGATTATTTTTTAATTAGAATATAAGCACTGCAGTGTTATTTGATTATGGCAAATTGTGATTTGTATGCTTCTAAATGAAATTATGTTACAGATAAAATTGCACCTTTATACACATATTTTAAGCTCTGTAGATTCTGTTGGTTTACTCTAAGATGAGCGGCAGTACTGTATTTACAATGTATTTGTGCCACTGCGTTACTGTTTTCTCTAAGTGTGTATTTTGCATAATGATCTCCTAGCGAATAAAGGAGGTATAGTCCGACCCAGCGTATATTGAAATAGTTTCAAAGGACGCTGTTTGGCACTTGGAACTTTTCACGCTGACTGCTTGCACCCTCATGTTTCTGTTGCACTCTCTTGTTTTGATAACTTCTTTTGCTCGGTGAAAGAAATGGCCCAAATTGTCAGGAGACAACAGATCATTTGCAGTAGACTGTACCCGGTTGCTGTACAAGGTATTGGCATTCGATTGCAAACATGTCCAAAGCAGACGTAGAGAAAGCGTGAATGTTGAATACATGGAACCATTCCCAGGTCTGCAATGCATTTGCTAGATGTGAACATAAAAATGATTATTTTGCACAAAGACTTGCATTCAATTTTAAGCTTATGAAACCATTACTCAACCAGTAATCGCTCACAGTTTGTGTTCCTTCTGATAGAGTATTTACGTTGAAGAAGTATGGCCAGGCTGTAGGGCTGGCGCAGCACCAAGGGGGGGAAGCCCTCTTTAGTCACTACATTGTCCAGATTTTTTGGTTTGGCTCGGTTTTGCCTCGGTGTGGAGACCTCCGCTTTGGCTGGGTTCCCTCGGTTAACCCCCACGCCACTTCCCCCTCTGAAAGATCTCGTGTTCCTCAAGTATTTTCGAGATCTTTTGTGTGCATTCAAATGTGATTCTGTCAATGGCGCTGTTACACTGTTTAGAGTCAATAGCTCCCTTCCATCACAGCCAACACAAACTAGCTGTCTCATAGGTCAGTGCTCTTTAAACAAATTACTTGTATCCACAGAGCAAATGATTGTTAATTGCTTCCCACAAATCATACTATTTTTACTATGCTAAACTACATGCTAATGCCTGAGTTAAATTTTAAATCACCTGATTATTTCTTGGACATATTCAATTATTGTTCTTAAGTATGAAATCTGGTGACTTTGCAAAACCAATGCTAAAAATATATAGAATGGATACAGGACTTTATCGGAAAGCCTGAAAAAAAAATACGGTCACATTCATTTTAATGAAATCCTCAGCATTTCTAATTCATATATATTGCATTTCATTGTTTTTTGGTTTTTTTAAGGTGCTCTTGTCCTGAAGCAACTTACAGTCACTGTTATTACAGTATTGGTTTTTTATTGATCAGACCGTGTGTCAGTATCGGTTGTTAGCAAGCTGAAAAAAATCAAGAGAGAGCAAATATTCTTGCCCTTTCTTCAAGATGGGTCGTCTAAGTCAGTCAAAGTTAGCATTAAGGAGTCAAAACCAGAAAGCACCTCTGTTAATATGTTAAACCGCTTTATTGCGCTAGAGTAAAATGTATTTTTCTTAAAACAGGCACGTGGAAGAGAAAGAGATCCCAGTTAACTGTCTTTTCTTATAAAGAAGGTTTTTCAGCATGACATACATTTTTAATTAATAGGGCAATGCTAAACATACAGAAATGATTTAGTAGCATCAAGTCAATAGCATGTTGGATAATGTATATTATATAATAGCTCTTTTTTAAACAGTAGCAATTCCAGGTTTATCAGGGTCATTGTTGTCCCCTTTCTTTTCTGTCTCAAAGGAGGCCAGAAGAATGAGACATACCATTTGTGCTATTGCACAAGTAGACTATTTGTCCTAATCAGTGACACCCATTTACTAGAATTGCTTAAAATGAACTATACCTCATACAGAAATCGCACATTTAGAGTGTTCCATTCATCATCTGAAAATTGAGGGCCAGTAAACTTTTCTGTTCCTCCAGTGGGATCATAGACATGCATCAAAATGTTAA